AGAACAATACGGCATTTGAGTTTTTTAATAACATGTTTGTTTCCAAGCACATGCTTTTGCTACTTGGAGAATTTTCTATACCCAAGTATCTATGTCAATGACATATTTGCAAATGATGTACATTAATAATGTGGTAATATCTTCTTCTCAGGAACCTGAACTCCTAAAAAGAAAGGCTTATCTTGTAAGGGTGTGACTCCAATGGTTCAAAGTCCACACTTGGTCTTATTGTAAACAACCTTTGTAGTTACACAAATTTTATGATATAACTTGGAAATCTTTTCTACACACTAGTAAGGCCATGGAAAATTATAATTAAAAAAAGTCTGGCACACATGAAAAATTAGACACTGTGTGCAAAGAAAGATAGGCCACCTATTACATGAGAAACCAAGGTTCAATTTAGACACATCAATTACTCAGAAACGTCATCTGACCAAAGTTATGTCAGGTTTTATAGAACTTTGGCTGATAAACAACTTAAATAATTCTTAAAGACACTACTGATACAGACTATTTCTCCTGTAGACTTTTTACTTGATAAAAATGTTTTTTAAAATTTTGGTAGTCCGTTAAATGTTTTAAAATATATATCTACGGCTAAATTAATGCAAGTAATTAAAAAATTAATCTCACATAAGGTAGGTCCCACAGGAGGGAGAACAAAGACCTAGACTAAATGAAAGGTTGCTACGAACGACCTACATCGCTTTGTGACTGCTAAATACTGGTATCTGTTTGTATGGCTCCCCCATGCTACAGGTGTCTATAGATGACTTAACCTACCTGAGGAACAGTAATATCAACCTTCCATAGTTTTGTAAAGCCGAAATGGTATTGCAAAAGTGAAGTCCCTAGGGCTCAAGGTATATTGGTTGCCTCCTCCACAGGAATCAAAGAACGGGGAGGCCGTGTTACACGGGGTAAACCTGGGATCATCTTCCCATCAGACAGATGATGGTTTTACCTGATCCAGCCCATCAATCTCCTCTGGCAGCAGTATGAGCAGGCTGAGGTCACGGCTTTCATAGAAGAGTTGAAGGCCGATGGCTTGTGGCCTTTCTATGTTAAAAACATGAAGCTTTTTTTTCATCGACATCATTTGTACTGGTTTGCTTGTATTCTATGGAAAAGAAGTAGCAAAGTCATTGAGGGGAGGTTCTGTCAAGTCCTTAATTATCATAATTGGTCCCCACGAGTCTGGGACACTGGCAAACATGATGATTCTCTGCTAAATGCTAAATAAAGTTATTGAGACCTAGATTTCTGGAAACGTGTGCTACTGGATAACGTCGTTAACAAGTGACATGGGAGTTTCTTTCTCTAACAGAATTGTGGCAACTTCTATAAATCATAGTCAGCTGGCTTGTACCAAACACTCAAGAGAGTACATAATCTTATGCAAACTATGCATATGTCAATGATTCAGAAACTGAATAAGGTGTGTTTCACATGCAAACATTTGAGGAAGTATTTTAGTATCGTAAAAAACTGAAATTCACTATGAGAAAGAAGAGACAAGTAATAGATTAGGAGAAAAAAAAATTGCAAAACACAAATCTAATAAAATTGATAAAGAACTCTTAAAAACTCAGTGATCGTAAAACAAACGACCCAATTTGAAAAAGAAGCAAAAGAGGTAAACAGACACCTTTCCAAAGGAAGAGAGAGAGAGAGAACCGAGATTATGCTTTGAGACTCTAGAAACGCCCTTCCAGTCATCTCAGTTCTCTTAGTTACACAAGCTAATGCTAATTATAATTCCCATTTTACCGGAGCTAGTTTGGAATGCTCTACTACTACTTGCAACTGAAACTTCCTGGTGACTAATACTAAGCCAGGTGACCATCCGGCTCCTTTCTAGTTAGCCTATTGGATTATATGCTCAGCCGCTTCCCCATCTGCATCCCACCGCTTGTCTGAGGATGCCTACTGCCCGCATCCACAGGTCCTCCCAGTACTGTTTGTGTGAGATGACCCACCCCAGGACTAGCAACTTGTTTAACAAACGTTGGCCAATCAATTCCTTTCCGAGGAACCTGGAATGAGATCTATCAGACTGTAGGATGGAGGAGCTGTGGGGTGGCGATATCTCGCCATTGTGGACTGGGAAGCAGAGGAAGCCAAACTTCGGCCTGGGAGAAGAACGATGGGAGAAACGGAGTTAAAAAGACAGAAGGAATCCGGACAACATTCCGATCCACGTTTCCGCACAAATCCCAAGGCCCAGCGCTTTCCAGCCCTTGGACTCTGAGATAATGTCTGTAGCCTTGCATGAGCCTCCTGTGTTTGCTGTCATTGGTTCTTATCACAAAAACAACTGTATTGTCTCCTAACAGAGAAACACGTTAATGAAAGAGGTGAGATTGAAAACTTTTATTTCTTTTTTTTTTTTTTGGTAGAACATGGTATAGGTTTAGTAGAATGAGAACAGAACTGAGGGAAAAGGGAAGGGGGGGAGGTAGATGGGATAAAAGGGGTCAAATACGTGGTGACAGGAGGAAATCTAACGTTGGGTGGTGAACACGATGCAATATATATACGACAAACTGTTGAACTGTGCACTTGAAATTTATTTGATTTTATGAATCAATGTCAACCCAAATCGTTCTTAATTAAAAAAAAATTTTTTTTTAAAGAACAGAATTAGTCGTTGGAGAGTTTGGGGTTATGGTTCAGGTAGACTTCTAGCTTAGGCGTCCCTTCACCCGCTTAGCGCACTGTGTTTCTCATCTGAGAAATCAATATAATAACTACCCTGCCCACTCTACCTTAGCCGTAGCAAGGACTGAGTGATAAAACATGTAAATAGTCTGCTTTCAGAGAAAAACAATGAAAGGAGAACTTCTAAGCAAGAAAGAGCGGGGCCTTTTAGTGCAGCTCGTCCAGTCATAGTTTACAGAGACAACATGTCCAGAAAGAGTGAATTTAAAATAGAATCCTCTCTACAATGCCATGTAAAAACCCATACTGATTAGGAAAAGGTTCCTACCTTGTTTATTCTGAAAGGCTTCTCCTTAGTGTCTTGGACTAGGAATTGTTGTTCCCAGGTTCCTTTAAAGTAAAGCGCGTTCACCAGAACCATTCTGGTTGCAGAATCCACAGCATCATCAGGGAGGAGATTCAGGATTTTACCTACGTGAGCAAAAGGACAGGTTTCAATGATCTAGTTACATCCCGATGATATGCCACATTTATAGAAATTTCGATTATGATATATCGTTAAATGATAACTTCTTATATCCACCGATGAACCAAACCAGAAAGTTAGCATTGATAGAACTCTATTAACAGATCTTACTCAGATTTCACCAGTTGTTCCAATAGTACTTTCTCTAGACCAGAAATCAATCCAAGATCTCAAGTTGAGCTGCATTTAGTTGTCATTTCCTCTTAGTCCTCTTTAATCCGAGACAGTTCCTCTTTTATTTTTTGCCTTTTATGACCTGACACTTCTGAAAACGTTTTGTAGAGTGTCCCCCAATTCTCAGTTCAGATTTGTCTGATGTTTCCTCTAGATAATATTTAGGTGATACATCTTTGCGAGAATACTATTGCTGTGGATGGAATTGCATCCTCCAAAAATGGTACCTTAAGTGCTAACACCTAAAGCGAGGTGAACGCTCAGTAAACCTGCTCCTGTGAGCTTTCCCAGCACATCCTTCTGCCGCTGCAGGTTCACAGGGAGCACCTTGCGAGCACCTTTGCAGCTTTGCTTAAAAGTTCTAAGGGCAGCACTTCTAGAGATTCCAACAGATCTGGGGTGTGATTTGGGCACGTGTACTCAAAGCGAAACAACACCCTCCCCCGCTCCCAATGAAACAAACTTCTTGGTTTTAGAAAGTAATTTGAATTTGGTTTTAAATGCTGATGTGAAAACTTTCCTGAAACATTTTTGCATTTGTTTCTCTGTCTTAGTAAATTACTGACAGTATGTTAAACCTAATCTAAAATGTATGTGATGATTCAGCTTGGGGAGGCCTTCTGTATGATTTTTTAAATCTTTTTCTTGCACAGAAATTTTATTGTTTTAAAGCTCTGTCATTTTTAATTAATTACTCTCTCCTTTGATCAAGTTGTAGATGCAAAGCAAGAACTTATATCAGGGACTGAGGTTTGCACAGATGGATCTCAGGTTGGTTGAAATCCAGTTGATTTGAGATTTATTGCACTGTCTTCTGGGTTCACGTGTTTTCAAGGAATCTAATCTCGAATCCACAGCCTTGTTAGGACATTTAAATTACAATTTACAAAGAATGTGCAAAATGTACTTAAATTCAACTTCAAAGTAACACACAGAGCAAAATTTGACTCTAAATGTTTTACTATCCTCTTGAGAGCTAAAGTGCCACCTTCTGGCTGGCTGTCTCATTGCACAGCATCCTTGGTGGGTTTATGTAATGGGAAGGACATTTTTCTCTGCAGAGAGTCAGGGTAAGTCCTTCCCGGCACATGTTAGTGTGTCATTAGAGTACCCAATGTCCCAAGCATGTGATAGATTTTGAGATGACAAACATGTAGACAATAACCTTCTCCAATCCCCCACTTTCAAGGAATTTATAGACTATAAAGACAAATCAGAAAAAAAATAATAGCAACATATAACTGATATTGTCATTGAGAATATGACTCTGAAGGCCGTGCCTGTAGTCCCTGTGGCTACCTAGAAGAAGGGCTGTTTGAGAACTTCAGGAAAGGAGCTTCCTTCAAGAAGCTCAGACAGAACCTAGTCCCGCCAAAGAGTTTCTAGCATTTTCCCTAAGGACAAAGGGAACTCTGCCTTGACAAAGTCAAAGTTCCTGAATAGCCAATTAATCCTCATTTCATACGATGTTGAATAGCCCCCAAATAACAGATATTTGTGTCCAATAACAAAAGGAAATACGAAAAGATTACAGCTTTCTCCCTCACTTCTAAAATATAGAGTCGGCAGGGCCGGCTGGAGGAATGAAGTCATGAGATGTGGGAGGCAGGGGCTTCATAAAAGGTTCTGGCCATGCCCAGGGTGAGTGTGTTTTGGGGACCCCCCTCATTTGACGAATGGTATGACGACAGGGGACTGGTCAAAGTGTGCCACTCCTGTGTTTTGACCATACACTGACCATTGTCTGAAGTTTACTCTTTCCTCCATAACTTAAAATATTTGTCCAGTTCTCTTAAAACAGAGCTTCTTCTGTGCTGGACATATGAGGCCACTTAAATTGAAATTAATTAAAATGAGCTAAAGTTAAAAATTCAGTTCCTCGGTCTTATTAGACCCTTTTCATTTCGTGCCACTCCTGTGTTTTGACCATACACTGACCATTGTCTGAAGTTTACTCTTTCCTCCATAACTTAAAATATTTGTCCAGTTCTCTTAAAACAGAGCTTCTTCTGTGCTGGACATATGAGGCCACTTAAATTGAAATTAATTAAAATGAGCTAAAGTTAAAAATTCAGTTCCTCGGTCTTATTAGCTCCTTTTCAAATCATCTATAGTCACATGTGGATACAACATGTGACGATGTAAAATTTGGTAGTACAGATTTATGGCACATTTGTCATCAGAGAGCAACTTCCTGGATAGCTCTGTAATCTAGACAGCTGGCTCTTGTCATGCTCCTTCAATGTGTCGGTCTACACTGGGGAGGCATGGCAAGGACCAGGCTTATGCAGCATCAGACAAATGGCTCTCCTCTCAGCTTTGCCGGGTGTAAAAATGGCAGATGCTACTCCCAGCCTTCCTACCTGTAAGGCTCCCGTCTGTCTTCCAGACGACGTAATAGACACTGGGCTAAGAATTTGAGGGCAAACATTTAGTTCCAGCCCTGTTCTTACTCCTACTTCCGCTGCGTTTAATTCGCGCATCCCTCTAGAATCACAGTTGGTCCTTGTATAACCCAAAACAGGGCAGGTACTCAGGAAATGGCCACCTGATCTCTAATTCTAAAAAAAAATGGACTGCGAGTGAATGCGAGTCAGGAACGAGTTAAGCAGAATGGTCGCTCTCGCTTCCCCATGGCTTTGAGTCACTAGCTCAGGGAACAAGGAACCGAGAACCGAGGGCTGCCAGCTTCCTCCGTTCATTCCAGTGGGCGTCAGTGCTCTGAACCACCACCCTGAGTGGGCCCGTTATGGGATCCGAAGCTGACACTCGACAAGCGGAGCTGTCACACGTGGGGTCCTTGCATCTAGCAGGGGAGGCGGATGAAACGAAGTTAATTTTAATAACGCTGTGGAAAGCGCCAAGGGGAAGTTTCCCACAGAGTGACGTGGGAGCAAAGAGGGTGGCTTTTACGTGCCGGGGGACCAGAGGCTCCCTCGAGGACATTGTATCCTGAGCACTCATCAGGCAGCAGGGCAGGGGCGGGAGGGGCAGGGCAGGGAAAAGAGTTTGAGATACAGGACTTGGCATGAGCAAAGACACGGGGTCATGAAGGAACGCAGGGTGTTCTGGGGACTCCGTGCCACTTAGAAATTCCGAAGTATAAATTTTGAGTCAGGAAGTGACGAGAGTTGAAATGGAGGCACGGGCAGGGCTGCACGATCACGCCGAGCCTTATGTGTCACTTTAGGGAACTTGAATTCATCCTGTAGGTCACAGGGCATCGTGGTGGGTTTTAAGTACAGGAGGGACGTGGTCTAGCTGGTTTAATTTATATTTTCGGTGGACCATTCTGGAGGTAGGATAGAGTTGGCTTTGAGAACACAGAGGCAGATAATTGTATTAATGCAGATAAATGATGACAAAGACTGAAAGCAGAGGAAGAAGAGATTGGAAAGGCAAGACGAACTCAAAAACATACGGGCTTTATATCCTATTTCTGAAGCTTCCAACTGTCTGAGCTCAGATAATTTCATTTCTCTAAAGCTCTATGGTAATCCTACTATTTCTTTTTAAAAATAGAACTCTCAAATTTCAGGTGATCATGTGGCCATCCAGCTAAAACTACATTTTACAGCAAGTTTGGGTGACTGACTCTCCCGGTTTGCCCAGGGGTGAGAGACCTTTGGGCGGTAACGCCAGGAAAGTCCCAGGCAAACCAGGACGTGTTGCTCATCCTAGCATCAAGGATGCCGTGCAACTAAGTTTGGGATATGTGGAAATGATGTGTGTGACTTTCAGGACATCCCCTTAGAAGCAAAGGGGTCTTCTTTCCCCTTCTCATGCTGACTATAAAACTGACCATTACAAGAATCATTTTCAACTTAGGTATGAAAGCCACGTCTTGAGGATGGCAGGGAGGACCCACCGGCTTCTTTCCCCTTCTCATGCTGACTATAAAACTGACCGTTGCAAGAATCATTTTCGACTGGGTCTCAGGACGGCCTTGTAAGGAGAATGCTTATCTACCTGTTGACTACTGCGTGACAGAAAGATAAACTTCTATCTTATCATAAAGCCACTATATTTTGGATCTCTTTGTTATAGCAGCTTAGCCCATACTCTAACATAAGAACTTATTTTGAAAGTTGCCTAAGATCATATAGAACATTTATATTACATTTTTGCTGTTAATCAGTAGCTATTTTTCTTTAAAACCACAAATGCAATAGTATTTCAGATTTCCTTTTTGCATTTTTCTGCTTTCCTCCTGGACTCCTCTCTGAAATTAATGAGTTACCATTTTCTCGTCTACTTGGTAAAGTGGGTGTCTCGACTTACATGTATTCGATTAGACTGACTGAAAAAGTTGTGAATCTAAAAAGTCTGAGCACGAATAGAAGAAGTGGTCGGAATATGTAGAATGTGTCCACAGTTCTTTTTAAGAAACACATATACTTACACATAACGCACATTCAGAATAATAAAACCGCGCTTGGAGAAAGCACGTTGGTGAAGGCTTACCCTCAGTCTGGCTTTCCACCCAAGCGTTGATCTCCTTTCTGATCTGGTCAGAAGCTTCCAAAAAGTTAACAGACTGCGGCTCTACACCAAAGTAGGTGTTCATGTCTTCTAAATATTTCTGAAAGAGTCAAGTAAAATCTCCTTTAGCAGAGTTTGTCCAAAACTGAGAAATCAAGTCTATTTAGATTATCAGAATAACTAGGTAGAGGTACAACGGTGCACATGCGCGCGCGCACGCTCACACACACACACACACACACATCGCTCCCTTCTCAGATCTTTCCCCACTCCTTGCATTGGTCAAAACTAAATACCCGCCTCTTTAAACTTCGCTGGGTGCTGATGAGCATGAGAAGGGAGGCCTGCCCCCCGCAGCCCTGGTAGCGCTGCTTGAAATCAAGAGAGAACTTTATTGTTTCCGTTGCTGCCTCTTTACCCTATCTGATTTTTTTGCCCTTTGCCCACTGGGCATCGGAGTCCTCCTGCTGCTTTCTGAGATGGGCCAAAGGATGTGACGGACAAACGTGAGAGAAGCACGTGCTTGTCCTGGCTCAGGATGGACCACTCTGGGGAGCCCGTGAGTCTGAACTGAGGTGACGTCATGGTCTGTACGACGGGGGTTCCCGCCATCGGAAAAGGGGAGAAGCTGATGTTATTCCAGGCCAAGAGTCTTTCCAACGTCTCTAACGTCGTGATGTGAAATGACTTGTCGGATCCCGAGGTCAGCTTCGCTCTTGAGCCCCCAGCCCCCAGCCACACTCACGACCAGAGCCACCCTCTGCCCCTTCAGAGTCACCCTGCTTCGCTGCTCTACGTCTTTTGATCCATTTTCCACGAAATAAATGTTGCCGTGGGGACTATATGAACCGCACTTTTACATTATTATTTTGGATAAAGATCTGACCACTAGATTTAGTTTGAGCCTCAATTATGGGTTGTCTTTACAACTAGATATTATGGTTTGTCTCAATGACAGAAATGCTGACCACATTAAGATTGTCCCTATGGTCCCTACAAAAATGTACAAAGAGTTTATTGATTCGTCTCACATAACTCTTTCTATCCCATTCACTTTAAGTAACAGGTTTGCACTTACTTTGAGAAATGGATATGTTTTCTCCCCATATATCCCATTGGCTGTTTTAAGTACATAGGCGTTACTGGGTTTGTTGATTTCTGAGATAAGTGTCTGGAAATCGGAGCGTATTTCTTCAACCTTCCCCAAGTTGCAGTCCTTCAAAAGAAAAGGGATTAGTCAAATAAAAATGTCGAACAAGAGCTACGTACATATACGAACAACCTATAACAAAGGAAACGATTTGGTGTATTGTGAACAAAAGCTGAAATCAGTTCTAAGGTGGATAAGAAATTGTTTTTCTGTAACGTTATCGGTGCGAAAAAAATTAAAAGTTACTGAGGGCATTGTTTTCTTCACATTTAGTTTGCAAAAGCAGGAATAGTTTGAAAGTGGAATAGTTCTGAGAGAGAAGAAAAGGAGGAGAGAGAGAAGGAAAATACGACAGAATACGACCTCTCCAAACAGTGTAGACATCTCGTATTTTGAAAAACGTTTCTATAACTTTAATACATGTTGCTAAGAAAATTTACCTGTCAAAGTTTGCTTAAATTAGCCATTAACACACGTGTGCTAAACGGGGGTTCTCTTTAACTATTAAATAGATATTAAAATATAAAATATACCGTTTTCCTTTTCTTTTCGCTTTCGGGATAAGATTTGATGTCTTGGTCTCTGTTAAATTGAAGCACCTGTAATTTTATAAAAAAAACAATACATGAACGCACTTTGCAGAGATATGATCATATGGAATACACATCAATAACTACAAGTCAGTCATGCCAATGCTACAGAACTTATAATTAATGAACCAAGGGGGGCTCTAATTTGATTTAAATGATGTATTAGCTGAACTAATGCAGTAAGTCAAAAGCGGGTTTTAAATAAAGGTTTAGAAGTCTAATTTAAGTTGTGCTTTGTTTTAATACTTTTTATAGGATGTTTAGGATGACATTGGGGTATCCTTAGAGGTAAAATTCTCTCGTTTTCCATGTTTCATTTTTTTCTGCAATTTCTTCAAAAAGAAGACGAGGTGTTCAATTGAGATCATCATTTAGCAATTTAAGCAAAAGCCACCATTGCCCCAATTAACTGGAAAATTCAGGGGTTCTCATTGTTTTTTATCAGGGTTAGTGATTCCATTCTCATTGTCTGCCACTTGACAGATGTGGGCATTGTTTTTTTCTCCTGAGTTGTACAACAGCTAAAAAAAAAAACAAGGCGATAATTTCGTCTCCCACATCCTGGGCCCAGCTCACAAAGAGGAATAAAGTCTTTCGCCAAAGCTTTGTGCTGACTCACAGTGACAAAACAGGGACCATCTGCCATAGAAAAAAAGGGGTGCATAGGCAACTCCTCAGTCTCGATTGCAAATGGAAGGTGTTAATGTTTAAATAAATATTAAATAAAACAAGGGCAAGCAACACCCAGCAACATATTTATTTACGTGAAATGGACCAGAATTGGAATCCGTCTAAGATTTAGTTTATCACATTAACGGTTAAGTCTTTAATAATTAATTAATTATTAACCAGTTGCGAACCAAGATTTTGTTGTTATTGTTTTAATCCACACAATATTTTGTGAACTACAAGACTAAGGGTGATACCCTAGGCCCAAACCGACAGAATCTTGTCTCGCTGAAAATTACTGGCTATGCCCATTTCCATACTTGACACAGAAGACACTGTCATTTGGCATTTCAACTGTCGTACGATTTAGGTTTGAGTTTACTCTCTTCTGTTTTTACTTTTATTTAAAACACAGATACATATATTTACATGTTTATACCTGCATATATATACATATATGTGTGACTATTTTATAACATGCTTTGCTATCTATGGCTACACACACTCACGCACACACACTCTGCTTCGAAGATGCTTACAGCAAATCAATAACGGTTTATACGATAATATCATTTTGCTATTTTAATGCCCCTAATGGTCCCATTAGATTCATTTAGACAACCAGGGACTGAACAAAGAAACAACCAAAGCATGAGAAACAATTCATTTGACTTTTCTATTTGTCTTCAAGATAATTTTTCTGAGATTGGAAAGAAGCTGACTAATCTTACTATTTAATATTTGAACCATTACTTCTTGAAATATTTTAATAATCAAAATAAAATTGTTTTGGGTGTTGGACCTAACTTGATAGCCTCATCATTTCTCCATTTGATTTGGCTGGAGAACACAGTTCTTAAATTGTTTTTCTTATAACAGTTTTCAGCTTGATTCCCTTTCCCGGACTTCTTCTTATGGTCTAGAAAAAAATTAAGGTATACCTCTTATTTTGAATATGGTTGTAAAATGTGAGGTCTTTGGATTTCAGGAGTAAAATGAAGATAAAAGGTATAGAAAGCATTCCATTTTAAGGCGGCAGATGATGGTGCTTCCCCACTCACCTGGGCTATTTGGGCAGCAGTGGTACCTCTGGTCCCCAGATACATCATGGACAAACAGGTTGAGATGCCCCAGGGAGAAAAGAAAATATTTTGACCCTCAGCAGTTTCAGCTAGCTTTTTGCTAAATTCCAGAGCAAATTGGTTGATTGATTTTGTTAGAGAATCCATTGGGAAAAACCTAAGAAAAAAAAGAACAGATAGACAACATGTTAATAATCTTTTTCATTTGTTCCACTTTTGTAAAAGAATTTGTCAAGTTACACATTACTTTTTAAATCATCCTTCAGTGAAATGACAAAAATGCATATTACCTTATTTGATTTATATATATATATATATATGTCCATCCCTATGTGTATATATATGTACAATAAGAATATATTATATATAATATAAGACCTGAATGGACTTTAGGAAAATCCTAATGTAACATCATTCTTTTACGCTGAAGTCCAGAGAGTTTAAGAGAATTGCCTCAAATTTTAGTGCTAATACACATCAGAGAACAATTGGATTCTGGTCAGTTGACAGCAAATCGTCAAGAATGTAACAATATAAATGGCCGTGGAGCCAGGTCACCTCCCTCTCAGTACCAACTTGACACTATAAATGAGACATAGTTACACATGTTTTTGACTTCGTATTTTTCTCACTTACCTTTTTTTCATATTTTTATATTTTTTAACCTTATTTATTGCTTTCTACCTCTATATGTGATATGCCTGACTTCCAGAATGCCTTTGTCCTCCTTTATTTCATTAAAATTGAACTCTGCCAAGATTCTCTTTTCCTCTAAAAGCTTTTCCTGACCTTTTGCACAGGAGAGTGTCTGCCACGGCAGTCTCTTAACGTAGTTTCTGCCACTCGCTCAACGTTTATCAAACTGATAGTTCTGTTTTCACATGTTTGTGTCCTTCCAACTTCGGGGTAAGTTCCCCCAGGACAGAAGTTTCTTACGCTGTTTTATATATCCAACAGCACCTAGCTCAGCACTTTGCACAAAGTGGATACTTATAAATATCTGTCTACTACTTGTTTGCAAAGTTCATTGTTTGGGGGTCTAGCCACGATTTTTTATTTATTTAAACTTGAAATCATGTGCAGTTTACTGGGAAATGCTTACAGAGAAATCAACACTCGTTTGCCTTAATTCTTACTCACTCAAGACCCCTTGAAATTGGTTTTATGGACTCGGGTTTTCTTGTTTGTTTGGGGGGTTTTTTTGTTTTGTTTTGTTTGTTTGTTTTTGATATTATATTCAGCTTCTAAATGTCACCTCCAATTACCTTGACATTTTAAATTTAAGTCTTTTAAGACTGGTCTCCATTAAAAAAAAAAAAGTTTTACCTAATGTCATTTTATGGCCAAATAATTTCTCAAACTGGTTACATGACTGAAAATAAATGAAATTCCTGGGCCTAGAACCTTTTAGTAGTGCCCATGTTGCCTAGAATGGGGTCTCCCCAATGACATTCCCTGGGCCTCTGGGAAAACTCGGATGAGGACTGAGAAGGACCAGTTCCCTCTTGGCAGCCGAATCAAGGGAGAAGTGTGTGTCGACGGTTAGATTTCGTCCCGACTGAGACTAACAGTGACTAACAATGACACTGTTGCCATCCCTCCTGGCCACAGGCTTGCACTTAACAAAACAGCTTCCAGACTCTAAATCATGCTCTTTTCCAGAAGGTGATGCTCATCCTGGGCTGACGTTATTTGATTAAAGAAAAAAAAAAAAAAGTCTAGTTTTGTAGGAACTTATAAAATGTTCGAAACTTGCCTGTGAGTATTTTTTTCTTGACAGAACCAATGCCATCTTGGAAATAACCTTCCTATTTCCTTACAAATAATGCTTCGTTTACCGCCTATATGTCAAATTTTATCTTTTGAGAACTCGTGAATTACATTCATATGGAAAATGCTTTGCTTCGTGGCAAAGCCATACTCACCACGAAGGGAGGAGAGGAGAAAGTACTATCTTAGGGCCTGGGATTTTTATCTTTCTACCTATGATTTATGGCTATTCCAGAATTTAGTTACTTGTAACAAATTCCCGAAAACTATAATTCTCTCTAATGAAGGAGGCAATTTCTTGTGAAAAGTTAATATCCAGTTACCTTCAGTTTCATAAATTCTCTCATTAATATCATCAGTAATATATCAGTTGTAACCCTGTTATATTAGCCCAGAAATAAGAAGGAAAAAAATCTGCCTTTTTTTTTTTTTTTTTCAGAGAAATTTACAGAAGCACTAACTCAGCCATTAGTAAAATTTAACCCAACGCTGGAAAGTGTTTTCTGAAGGGTGCAGAATTTGGGCATGAGATTTTATAGGAAATAACCTATCCACACAAGGTTGAATAATGATCTTTTCAGAGAAGACTATAAACATCTAAATCAGAAGCCTACGGTGCCATTTTCAAGATGTATTGCTCTTTTGCAGTTTTCGGGAGCTCGGTTTACATAAATATATGTAAAACATGTAAAATCGTAATCTGTAAAAGGCTTAGGGGAGAAGCTAGAAAACTATGAAAGTAAGGAAAGGATTGTGTCATTCATCAAAATGTCTCAGGGACAGACACACATACTCCGCCATGTCAGAGCTGGAAAGTACCTTGAATCCCTCTAATCTAATTGCCTCGTTTTATCTGCTAAGAAACTAAGGCCCAGAGAGGTGAAAGATGCTGACTAACATGTACCGCTGGCTGGTAACAGAGTTATCAGTTCCATCACATTCTCTGGACTCTGAATACAACTGCTTTTATCGTTGTATCTCGTTGTCTTTAAGATTTTAATGGTAAAAGGACAGATTGGGTTATGAAAGAAGTTGGACGGGAGGGAGAAACGAGAAATGATGCTGAGAAGGAGGAGGACGTGAGAAGGATTCTCATCTCCTTTTCCACAAGAGGATGCCCAAAGTCCCTCGATTTCCTGATGATCCTGATGACGTCACCTACTTCATGGTGTGGTACCTATCAGGACATGACATCTCCCCCTCAGCCCTTCTATACTCACCTAACATCATTTTCCGAAGGAAGTGATAGTTTCCGAAGATGAGCACCTAGTGTAAGATTGCAGGTTAGGGGCTGAGATTATTCCATGAAAGGAAAGAAAGCTAATGGCTCCTGGGAGGGTGGCCAGGGCAGGATGCTGGGTGGGGAAAGGGGATAGAGAGCCAACGACACTGACAGACACAGAGGTAACAAGTCCAGAAATATGACTGAGGAAAACTCCATTCATAGTTTCACGATTCCTGGTAAAACGATTTCTCTAACTTCTTTTGAAACAAATGCTCTCTCCCATTCAGCCCTCTTTCTAGTACACGTTTTGAACCAGCTCGGGGTTAAATATCTGACTTACACAGAATTCTTGGGGGGTGAAGTTTTACCTACTATTTCTGGGGTTTTTTGGGGGGGGAGTGGTTGACTATTCGATATTTAGCTGGACAGTTCGACAAAGAAGGAAAACATAGATACACATTTTAAAATAAAGAGGTACTTACAATATCTTGCTTTCTTCCACCCGAGCAGAATTAGCAATTCGCTCCTAGCATAAGAAATTGTGGCTGAGTTAAGTAACTTCTAACTGTAGAAACTAAAAAAAGATTTCTGGCGCCTCCCTCTTCCTAGCCCTGCCCTTTGATTCACTTCCACAAGCCCATACAGTCTTCCTTTCAGGTTTATCTTGGGCAGAAGCTCGACTACAAAAGCCAACAAGATAATTAAGGTTTTGCCTGAATTCTTTAATTAGCCACGTTTTCCTCATCTGTCCACATGCAGAGACCTGACTTCTGAAATGTCGTAACTCACAGTTTCCTTGCTTAATCTCTTCTTTAGTCTGCCAACCGGTAGCAATTCGAGTGCTTTTCTTAAAAAAAAAACATTTAAAAATAAAAAAAATTAAAAAAAAAAAATAGAAAGCTTCAAAGTAGTGGAATAATAATGGGTAATGAAATGGAAAATGTTATTGGTGAAGCGTTTACTGTTAATGTTAAATTTGCCCTTCACATTTGGGGGGGTTTGTGGAGAACTCCAAGCGTAATCAAAATGAATATGCAGCCCACTCCCCCACTCCAGGGACCAGGGGCTTGGGTCGATGTTTTAGACACAGTTACTGACTCAAATGTTGGCTCATCGTCTTCTGGGTCTCTCTTGTTTCTCCCTATAGAATTTCTCTGACTCTTCCATATTTATTCGAAAGGAAAAACAGTAGACTACAGTTTCATCTTCTATCGTAGCACATGTGTGCATGGAGGAGTGGAAAACAGAGTGACGAGAGGAATGGGAATGGAGGAACGATCTAGAACGGACGAAGGGGAAGCGGGAGGCTCTTCATTTATAACATGCTTCACGCGGTTTTATTTTTCTCTTCTTAGGACTCACGTGTTTTCTGGTAAACTGGCTCAGAGTTAACTATTTGAATGTTGGTGTGGAACCTAGAGCAAAATGTCCCTCTGGATTTCACTAGCGAGGGTGACTTGTGGCAGGAAATTCTGTGCAGCCTGCCTGGTGTATGCTAAGCAGATACTATTATCCACGGATGCCCAAAGGACCATATGGTGGCTCTAGATAGAGGGACTGTTCATCTCCACGGACAGCAGCTCGTCAGAGGGTGACTCGGGCTGCATCATCGCACAGCATGAAGACACTCCAGTTATTTGTCTTGCATTAAATGCAACAGTGAAGATTATGCTGAACCAGCGGAGAAAATTCTTTAAAGAAATTTCTTTAAAGTCACAGACTGTTTTATTCATTTTCCCCAAAATCTTCTCACAGACTGTTTTATTCATTTTCCCCAAAATTTTCTCAAAATTCCTTTCCCACTTACCTATTAATTAAAATCCTTTCAAATAGATATACTACCTATATCTTGGATAGACTGTGATCTAGACAGTAGGATCAATCACAGCTGTGCCTTATTTTGATGCCTGTTTGGGGTGTGGAAGAGAAAGAGGTAATAGTGACCTAAGTTAACAATATAATATTATTAGCATAATTTTGTTTGCTTGTTGTTATTTATGGCCTGCCTTCTGTATCTTTAGCAGTATGTATAGATATTACTAGTGGAGACCAAGTGATAGAAACTAAATAAATGGAGAAGAGAGATGGGAGGGAGAGTTTTTTTTTCTTGATATTTGATGTTTATACCACATGAATGTATTAGGTGGAAGAAAGAAAGAAAGAAAGAAAGAAAGAAAGAAAGAAAGAAAGAAAGAAAGAAAGAAAGAAAGAAAGAAAGAAAGGAAGGAAGGAAGGAAGGAAGACTTTTAGTCCAAAGAACGAAAGAAAGAAAGAAATTGAAACAGAGAGAATTCTAGGTGAATCAGTATTATTCTAATAGGAGTCCAGAAAAAGAAAGTGCGTAGCGTGGGGCAGAGACGATTGAGTGTATAATGGCTGTCTTATTCAGTCTGGATTGCTGTAGCAGAATACCACTGACTGGGGCTTAAACGACAGACACGTACTTCTCACAGTTCTGGAGCCTGGAAGTCTGAGATCAGGGAGCTGTCAGAGTCAGGTTCTTGGTGAGGAACGTCTTCCTGGTTCACAGACGGCTGCCACCTCTCTGTGCTTGCACATGTTAGAGAGAGGACTCTCTGATCCCTTCCTCTCCTTGTAAAGGCACTAATTACATTACACGAACTCCATCCTCATGACCTGATCTAACCCTAATTAGCTCCCAAATGCCCCACCTCCAAATACCATCACACTGGGAATAGGGTTTCAAGGTCTATGTGGTGGGAGGATGGGGGAGACACAGACTTTTAGTCCATAGCAATGGCTGAGAATTTCCCCAAACTGAAGCAAGAGCCAAGTTTCTAGACAGAAAAATTCTGCTGATGATGAGCAACATAAATTTTAAAAAACAATTTGAAAAAGTACTCTTAATGCAATGAAATATCAAGAACACTATCAAGAACAAAAAAAAAAATTATTAAACTACAAGGAGCAAGAATTATCTTGACTTTCACATCAGCAACTCTGGTGCCAGAAGATAATAAAATCATCCTTTTAAAGTGCTTCAAACCTTGAATTCTACACTCACACTCTATCTCAATAATGAGCGTGAGACAGGAATATCCTAAGACTCACTATTCAAAAAGCTACTACGTATTGCCTTGCTGAGTGAATTGCTGAAGTAAGTAGAAAAATGCAAGGAGCAAGGACACGTAATTTTCAAGAATGTCTGATTTAGAAAAAATAAACTACAATCCAAGCCTTAAAAAATTAACTGAGGTCTACGGCCATGCTACCCTGAACAAGCCCAATCCCGTCTGATCTTGGAAGCTAAGCAAGATCAGGCCTGGTTAGTACTTGGATGGGAGATCACCTAGGAAGACCAGGTGCTGTAGGCGTAAAAAAATAAAATAAAATAAAATAAAATAAAGGATTGTAAACTGACAAGGTCCTTGTAATCTGTGAGGTCAACCAAGGGTTGCCTTGCTTAAAAAAAAAACAATTAACAATAGTTTTCTGGGATTCTGTGTTTGACCAGTTGACAGTAAGTGAATAAAACCAGAGACAGTTTTATTACTTACAGAAATAATAAACATAATCACTAGTATTTTTTAAATACTGCATATGCCGAGAATTCTTTTAACTGCTTGCTATGCATGAATTCATTTAACCATCACGGCAACCTTATGAGAAAAGTATTGTTTTCTCAAGTTTACACTGAAAGAAAAGAAGCACAAAGAAGCGCCAGCCCTCGCCCATGGTTAGATGACTCAGAGTGTTAGAACTGGGATTTAGATGCAGACGCTCAAGGTCCTGAGGCCACCTCTTTAGCCACCTTGCTCCACGGGTCATCATAGGGAGTGTGGTGCCTGGGACATTTCCAGGACTCGGCCACAGAAACCAGACTCTCAAGTCAGTTCAGAACCCCCTCCCCACACATCAAACCACCTAAGTGCCTTTGTTCTCAGGTCTTACATTATTTTCTGTTCTGCCTCTGCTTTACTCAAAAGCATCGAGTGCTATTGGAAGCACACATGCTTAAAAGAAGCCATCTTGTGTTTCTCCTCCTGCTCTTGCATCCAATCATCTCTACTCCTCTGAACTCTCAGCTCAATGACCTTGACCTTGATTCTATGTCTGGACCACTGGATTTGCTATTTATCTCTATTGTCCTTGAGGATTAAACACTGGTATTGCCAAAGGACTCTGACTCAACCTACACTGCTGAATTGCTCTGACCTTTGCTACTGGAAGGCAACTCTAAACCATTCTCACATGACCCCAAGGGGCTCCTTACAAAAGGAGAGGTTACCCCCTTGGCTCTTTTATTCTACTTTTTCTTGGTTCCCACAAATGAGCCATGATTCCTGATTCCTGGGGTGCAAGTATAACAGGTCTTATGATCTGATGACCTAATAGAATGGCAACAAAAAAAAAATGGTTGTGTGGAAACATGTTTATTTATTATATATTTAAATTTTACATAAGTTACAGACACATCTGTGTGATACATAATTTTATAAATGCACATGACATATATTTGCCTGTTGTTCAATGCTTTCTTCTAGGTTTTTGTCATAGAAGGGCATAGGACACATAATCGTCCTTCATCATAAAAACAAACAAATGCATTTCCTTAGAAAGAAAAATAGCAATCACCTGTTTTTATAACTGTATCAACAACAGTAAATGCACAGTGAACAATAATAAAAATTATATAAAATAATAAATAATACAGTAAAAGTTAATGCTATAAAATAAACTAAGAGTAAGGAAGAACAAAATGGAACATCATCCCATTTTAAGAAACCAAACAATTCATAGGGTTGTTATGTTATAATTGACAATTGTCTAGTTATTTCTGTATTATATCTAGTGTGTAGTAGAAGTTGTTCGGGAAAACAGAAATATACAGATAAAGCCTCTAATTTTTAGTACTTATAGCAATTCTGAGGCTTATAGCTCTTACTCCAAAATCCTTTACGGAAACAGAACCCTTCAATTTCAGGGTGAGGCGAATCTGCCAAAAAAGAGGATGCTCCTGGTTATTTTGTGCATTATAAGGAAGAGGAAAGGATGATCTGCCACGAACTGTGGACCTCCGTGGCCAGTTCTCCCTGACATAATAGCCCCGGTGCCAGCAGAGGCTTCAGTGCCCTCCTCATTGACATCCACAGTGGCTTGATGGAACACTTCGGACAGAAACAGGTTGTTCCCTTCCGACATCCCTGAGAAATCGGCCTGGCCCTTGCTGAAGGCGTCCTTCATGCCCATGCTTCTCAGAATGGATTTGAGTTCGTAGTGCTCTTCTAATTTGAACTGGGGGATGTATACCTCAACATCATCTTCAGCCATCGTGTCTTTGCTGAGCCACTTGTCGAGTTTGTGATAAGTTATTTCACTTTCCAGCTACAAATCAAAAACAAAACAAAACACCACACAACAAAACAGTGAGTGCCGAGAAAAAAAGGAAAACAACTTCTAAATCTAATGTTAAAAATCGGTGACTTTAACTTTATTACATTGCGGGTGGTATAAAAACTTAATAGATTAGTGAAGTTTTTTTGTGAGCAGGCGGCCTGTATGACATATGTTTAGGGCTCTGAATGAAAGTTTGAGACATGCCACATTTATTAGCAACCGATTCATGTTTTTCTGTGAGAAGTCGCACATGATTTCCTAAGTTAGAGAGATGTTCATCACGAAAGGTAAGTTTAGCCCCAGAAACCTAAAACAATTGAAGTTAGAATGACTTACCGACTCCAGGCCAGTAGACACGTTAGCAATTCCATCTGGAAGCAAAAGGAACATGCTGACATCTCCAGTGTATGGGAGTTCTAGAATCTGAGTCTTTAGGTCTTCGATGTAGCCAATGTTCAGCTTTTCGTGTAAGTACATCATTCGTACAGGTTTATGCTGAGTCTAAAATGATTAAAGAGTAAAATATGAAAGTTTATACTATGATGTCAAGAGACTTACAGACATAAAAGAGAATGTGTTCTGCTTTAGTGTTTAAGAAATGTTTTAGAAAACAAACTAAATTATTTGCATACACTACCAGTGGTTCTAATCTTATTACCTTTTTCAAGATTACACTCATTATTAATAAGATGGACAATAATAAGAATACTAAAATCTTTGTTTAGTACCTACCATGGGCCAAGAACTCCGCTAGATCTCATTGAATCCTTATAACTTTTTGAGCTGGATATTATTATTATCCTAGTTTTACAGTTAAAAAGTGTAATTTATACAACATAAGTTAAGTCATATTTGGTAGAAAGAGCCTACATTCCAGTCCAGGACTGTGTAAGCGTAAAGTCCATAGTCTTCCACCACCACTCATATGATCTCTCACAAAATTACTATGATTTTCAGTAGCTTGAAAGAGTCGATCAACTGTCCAATGTCCATCACTTATAACTAGCAAATCATACAGTAGCATCAGCGAATGGTCTCTATTGTTTCTTCTCCTGTCTCGTCTAAGTCCCTGAAGTATATGTTAGGAAAACCTGTCTCGTTGTCTCATACCGAGTTCACATGGAAAGGATAAAGCCCATTTAATTTCTTCTCAAATGGAGTCTTCCACTTTCCTTTGAAGTAGACGGCATTCACCAGAACCATCCTGGTCTCCGGATCTACAGAACCTTCAGGTAACAAGTTTGGAATTTTGCCTACAGAAAACATGACATGGGTTTAGGTATCATGATCCAGAACTGTGAAAGTTACTATAATTCCTTGAATCTTTTGCGTCACAATCAGACTCAGCAGCCACATTTGTCAAACTCCACAGAGATGTCGATCTTCAAGCTAAAGTTTTTCTCTGGATTTATTTAAAGCATAAGTAAAATTTGGACCAAATTTCTTAGAAGGTTTGGAAAATCCAAGAGAAAATGAAAACGTAATGCATTTAAAATTTAGAATTATTATCGAATATGCAAAGCAGATTTTCATTTCTTTTCATATCATTTTTTTTCAAAGTTTTATAGTTGTAGGAAGTTATTTAATTCAGATGCGAGTGAAAGAGGAGGAAGATAACCACACCTTCCCACAGTGCGTCGTGCGTGCTTCCTCTCGATCTGGTCTACACAGTCTGTGGGTCTGACCTACTGATTCATTCAGAAACATTTTTTCGGAAATTTAGGCTAGACCTACACTAGGAGTAGTGCAGAGTCATGAGGCGAGCAAGGAAGAAAGGTCCTTGTGGGACTGAGAATATTGAAAGATAAGTTCAAAATCAGGTATGGAAAATGCGCGATAAGTTCTATAATAGTGCTAAATAATGCAAAGTACTATGACAACACAGAAGGGAGTAAATGAGCGAGCTAGAGAACGTTCTCGGTAAACGATAACATCCAAGTGTGATACTTTCTTAAGCTGGTTTAAGAGGCAACGCATTTATAGTGAATATCTGCTCTGCAATATTTCAACCCCTAAATACATTAGTTTATTTAATCTTCACAACTACACTATTAGGTGAGTATTAGTGTCATTTTACACCAGAGGACACCACGGTGAAAGAGGCTAACAATCTTCCCAAAGCTATAATCTTGGTAAGCTAGTCAGGATTCTGTCTTCACAGTCCTAGTCACAGTGCGACTAATAAAGTCACAGTAGTATGACCAGCTTTAACATGTCCATTCAATGGCTTCACTCAGTATATCCCCAGGCAATTAAAATTCTTGGTAACTACTGAAATCTACTAATGCTTATTTAATTTTGTGAGGCACGTGACAACTAGTATTAGATAACAAACAAAACAAAATTCTCTGAAATTATTATAAAATTTGGTAAAACAAACAGTCCAAATGACTACTTGGTATTTGTGCAATACAATTGATTGGTTTATAGTCATTCGATACAACCCTTAAAGAGAAAATTTAAGGTGTTCACAAAAAGCAAAACTTTCATGTGTCTCTTAAATTTCGTATTCCGTTTTTACTTTCACTTCTCTTAATCTTCGCTTTTCCTGGTTCCTTTGTGTCAGTAGTTCATTAATGTTTTAGAAAAATGATTTAAAAATCCTTAATGGAAGTAAAGAACTAAAGCAGATCATCTATTTTTAGAGAAACAAAAATATTTTTAAATGCTATAGAATCGAGTTCATGTGCTTTTTTCCATTATGGTGGCTAAGAAACCAAACGATTGTTCGAAACTATGTTTTAAATACAGAAGTTAAGAAAATTCTTTTTTTTTTTTTTTTGCATTAAGTTACCAAACTCTTTGAACATCCAAATGAAGAATTCTGGAGTTATGTTAAGGATCAGAAGACAATGAAACTCCAGCTTAACCACTAACTAGTAGTGGGTCTTAGATCAGCCACTTAATCCCTCGGGGGCTTGACGCCCACACGATAAAGTGATAAGTTTGGATAAATGCTTCCCAAGGATCTTTTCAATCCAAACAACTCCTAAATCTTTGAAATTCCAAAACTTCTTCATATCCATAATAATCTCTATTTTTTTTTTTTTTTTTTTTTTTTGCTCTTAGAAATCCACTCTTAGAAATCCATATATATGTTGTTTTTCAACAATTATTTATTCGAGGCTTATAATTCTACCTGAAAATTTGGAAGAATGAAGGATTTTCACTGTCAGCAACAAACTGTGCTAATTTTTGCGAAGACACAAGAGAAGTGTGACCTACCGGCCCTCCTCTTAAATAATTATAGTCTAGGCTAGACGGCAAAGCAAACAAAATAAAATAGTTCAATAACGGCTCAAGGTCTTATATGGCAAACATCAGCATAAGTCATGCCGCCAACAAAGCACACAGAAGATTCTAGAAGAGGGAAAGATCAGGTTTGTCTAGGAAAGGGCAAGACTTTGGATGCACTTAAATTCTGAAGTTGAAGCATGCATTAAAAGTAAGTATAGAGGTAGCAACCAGCATCCTGTTTGCTCCAGCAGCCATCACATACAGTCTCTTGGATTATTGAGAACTGAAAAGTCAAGGTAAAGAGCAAGATCTTCTGAGGACAACAGGAGGTCACTGAGGATATTTAAATGTAGGAATAGCCTAAAAAGTGTGTTACTTCACCTCTTTAGATTCATCTTGTCCTCTTAGCACTGTACAACGCTCCAGAGGGCCAAGGTCCCTCACCTCTGGATAGTTGCACATCTGCGCACTCTGTCTAGAACTCTCTCCCCAGGCACCACGCCCTTTGCCTGGCCAGCTACAGCCCATTCTCCTAATCGCAACATAAACATTTCGTATTCCAGGAGGCCCCTTCTCATTGACACGTCGGAGTCAGGACGTAGTGTCACAATTATTTCAGTACTGATATTTCCTATGTTGGAAAACTTCTGCCTTCTCTCCTAGTCTATTTTAATGTAATATCCAAAAACAGATTATTTGAGTATTGAACAAATGTCTTCTATTAATAGGCTTCAATTATTTTTTTCTCACTTAAAACAACACTTAGCTAAACAAGAATAAGTTTGCATTAACCAAAATAACTAAAATTGGATGACTATTAAAGTATTAAAGACTAAATTCAAGGATGGTTTTTAAAGACAGATTGGTTTTCTAAAATAAAGAACAGAAACTATTTCCTTGGTTTTACCTTTGGTTTGAGTATTGACCCAGAAATTAATCTTTCTTCTGGCTGCTTCTGCACATTCTAGGAAGTCGACTGCCTGGGGTTCTGTAGAATAATATTTCTCAGAGAGTCGTATGTATTCCTTTAAAGCAAGAAAAACACAGGAGATTACACAGAATGTATACTGAACAAACCTTGGAGTAATTGTGAATTACGGGCTTCCTGTCAAGACTGGGAGTCCTGGGCTGGCATAAGGATGGAGGCTGGCTACTGGGAGCCAAGGAAATGATGCAGATTATACGCACTCTGCAGCCCTCCTCTTCCCACACTCCAGCCCCAACTCAATTTGCCCTCCTACATCCTATATTATAGACACTAAGTTAGAGGGAGATGGGGCTTAGGGGTTCCTGGCTCTGGAAGTCAATTATATCCTTCCTTACTACACAGTAAATGGGGCTTTTGCATCAGAGAGAGAGAAAGCCTAAGGGATAGTTAGCAATGCTAACCCTCTTCGTACAAATCGTGGAGAACGGCTTTGAAAGTGACCTCACTGCAGATTTATAGGGTCCCGCCATTTCAACTACGGGTTTTACTTACTTCCTTGAATCCCTCAGACTTCTCTCCAAACAGCTTATTGGCACTTTCCAATACATAAGCCCCTGTGGACGCGTTGATTGCAGAGATGACAGAACGGAAGGATGAATGGATTGTATCTTCAGCTTGTGCCTTAGACAGAAAAGAGGGATTCTCTTTACATAACACAAGACTACTAAACAAGATGTTTCTTAAGCAAAAGTGTTTTTTTCAATACAGCAATAAAATGCTGTATTAATGTATATTATTTTCTGATACTCTAGAGGAATCTCTGAGGAAATAGTTTTGATATAGATGTGGAACAAAACTAATAAGACAATGTTTTAGTTCTTTCCTATTTTGCTGTGCCTATGGATTGGATTTAACCAAGAAGTAGCCAACGCCCTAGAAGAAAGTGAGGCTCCTTTTACAGTCCTAAACTTTAAGATTTCTAAGAAATTTTTATCATATTAAATTGTTACCTTACAAATGTTCTTTTAAAAGTTCATATAACTTCTAAAAGTACCCATTTTATAATTAATGCATAGTCTACACAGTGGAAAATCTGGGTTTTAGTAAACCACAAAAGAGAAGGGGAATTTCAATCTGCAACGTAAGTTTGTAAACCCAGTGACAGATAAGGGGCTCAGTCACAGCAGAGGACAGAGCCCTGCAGACGACTGCCAGATGTCTCAGGAGACCTGGCTGAATCTCCATACGAATGAACCCTTTCCAGCTCCTTTTGCTCATAATTCCCTGGGTAACCGGCAGGTGGAGCATAAGTGTTCCCAAAAAGGAAGCTATGGGAGATACCACACCACAACCTAACTCAGTAGTGAAATTCTGGATGTTGGTTTCCAAGAGGAGCACATCTCTGTTTCTATAATTTAGTTGGATAGCTAGTATCTAAGAAATGAAGTACTGAAGAAAGATAATACTACCTAAGATGGATGGATGGATGGATGGATGGATGGATGGATGGATGGATGTGGATGGGCCCCAATCCCGAAGGTGATAGAGATAAAATTTCAAAGGGAGAAAAGAAAGAAACAAAAAGATAGATAGATAGATAGATAGATAGATAGATAGATAGATAGATAGATAGATAGATAGATAGTAGAAAGACAGAGACAGAGACAAAAGAGAGAGAGAGAGAATGAATGGAGAGATAGAAGGGTAGGGGAAGGATATCTGAAGGTCAGTGGTCTCTCATGAAGTCATCAAGCCTGACCTTCTCTGACCTTCTCCATTCCTCAACCACTTGTCACTCCTGACCCTTTCCCCTCTGGAAATCTGCATCCACGTGTGTGTATTTTAGGAGTCTCTACCACAGTTTTAGAATAAATTACACAAACCCAACTAGAGGCAGGGTGGTGTGACAAACTTTAGAAAGAGTCTTGGCCCAGAAGTCAGAAAGTCTGGGTTTTTCCCTGGCTCTGCCCTTTGTTATTGGTGGGACCATGAAATATTTACTTAAGGACCCTGAGTCTTGTTTTCTCTCTGTGAAAAGGGAAAGTCATACTAAGTTCCTTCTCAGTCTAACGCTGTGACTTCAGACAAGAAGTCACAGCGTAGTATTTTATTCTGGAAATAAAATACTAATATATGTATGTATATAATATCAGAGTCTTATAATAAATACTACACATATTAGGTGATAGGAATAAAATACTAATGTTATATGTAATAGAAATAAATTAATAATAAATATATATATATATATAAATGAATGAGTCAGATACCTTCAAAATAACATCAGGATAAGTGGCCTTCTGGATCTGCTGCTTGAGTTCACAACCGGTGGCAATCGCTGGGGTCACTGGGGTGACGTCGTGGACTCTCATTTTGTGAAACTGAAGCACCTGCAATTGGAATTAGAAGGAACAGTTACATTTTTCTGCTAAATTCCTTAACTTTTAAACCAATGGCTATCAGGTGCCTCTTAGTGCCT